CAGTCAGTCAGACAGACAGACAGTCAGACAGACAGACTGACCTAAACCTGTAAGAATGAACCAGACGTTTATTTCAGATGTTATTATTTTTTAATGAAATCCTTCACTTACTCGCTACTCGTTTTGAAGTTCAGAATGCTTACAGATCAGAGTCCCAGTTTGATCTCAGTGATCCCCACACACAGCTTTGTACACGGGGACATTGCAGTGTAATGGCTATAAATTCACTTCCACAGGAAACCTGGTTCCCGGTGACTACAGGTCGTTACATGGTGTCTGAACAGTAACACCAGCAGCAGCGGCGCTGTCGCCATTGTTTGGAGGATTGTTTGCAAATAAGCATGTGGCGTTAACTTTGTCCGAGCAAAGGAATGGGAAACACATTGTCAGCTCAGATAATGGGGACCTTATTGTAGGGAGTGTAAAGCAGGACAGCCTTTGCTGTGTGATTGAACTGACCTCCAGACTTTTTAACTCAGCATCAAAGACTGGAAACACTAAATAGGAGTGTCTGTGTGGAACTCTGCATCTGCAGTTATTCTCTTTCTGGACAGACCACTTTTATTCCTTGTCATTATTACATTGAACAAAGGATTTTGTGCTGGTGATGAGTAATTAGTTTACTTACTGTGCTGAACATATCAGGTTGATTTTCAAAATAGATCCAAGATCTGTGATTGAAAACACCATATGTTTTACTTATTACATAATCCCATTTTTTATAGGCCTTTAAGCTGTACTTTTGTGTACTTTCTCTATGTTCCTTTTTTTAATCGCCAAAAAAGCCCTTTTAGATGAGGAGCGCCGTTTATTTTTAGCATAATTTATGTCCTAGAACAGGAAGCTCCTACAGCAGAAAAAGGAAAAGAAAAAAAAAATCGTTCCCCTTGTTCTCGCTCCTCCTCCAGTCACATCCTAATGCAGTCCAGAACATGTTTACACCACATTAGGACACACGGGTTCAGTTTGCGCCGGTTTGTGTGTGTGTTTCTGGTAGAGAGATGAAACCTGCAGTGTGTACTGTCTGGCCAGACAACAATGGGGTATAAGTGTGTGTGTGTGTGTGTGTGTGTGTGTGTGTGATCCTGGCGACATTTCCTCAGCCTTTCATTAGTGTTGTTTTTGGTTTGAGAGGACAAAGTGAGGAACTGACTAAAAATGGTGACTGACTAATGTTTGTGGCGATCCAGTCAGACGTGGTAAAATAAATGAATTTACTGTTTTGCTTCCTTGTTGGTTTTAAGAAATACATTTTAGCTAAAAGTACATGAAAGCCTGTGCTGGCAGTGCTTGGTAGACATGCAGCCAGCTAACGTTTCCTTTGCCCTTTGACGTCCAGGTTCCAGACGGTACCTCGACTCTGTGTACTCTCTTTCATTCTCCCCTCTCCCACCCACAATCCCTTTCATCCAATGGCCTCCACCTTATCCCTGCTAGTTCACATTCTGCAGCACTTAAATAACGCGAGGGAGTGTAAAGGCAGCAGGTTCGGGTGTCTGTGCCAGCCACCGTCAGCGTCAGCTCTGTGGCAAAGTTGGGGAATAATTGTTGTCTCTCAGAGGTTGGAATTTCCCAGCTCGACTCTCTGATGGAGAGTTTCACAGAGAATTAACACCGATCACAGTTCATATTCCTGGAAGTCGAACCACAAAGTGTGCTAAGTTGCTAAATGTTCTGTACCTTTTTGGTCTGCTCCTCACATAAACATACTTTATTGAGGTATAAAGTTGAGAGTGGCGGAGCAGCTTCTTCACTCAGGACTCCTGGAATTGAATTAGGTTCTGTGGTTGCTGACTATGAACTCACTCCGTTTCAGCAGTTTTGAACACCAATGAAATCTGAACTTCACTACAGCACGTACGTACTGGAAGCGAGTTAATCCATCTAAGCTTCTGTGTTGATCACATGAAGAGGAACAGTCGCTGTAACGCAGCCCTATTGAAAGCAGCTCCTCCATCCCCAGGGAATCATGGAGATAATCAGAACCAGATCCTGAGATGGAAACACTCTGAACACTTTAAACCACACTGTGCTGATCGAGGATAAAAATTCCCACTAAACGTAGCACTGGGATTTAACCTTCCCACAAAAAAGCCCTCATATTCAGCAAACTGTATGCTGCAGCTGGTGGCACTTTAGATTAATGTCTAGCATACATACAATAGGTGTTTGGCTACACGGTTGTTCTCAGTGGTGAACTCTGTGCCTTATTATATATGACTGTGTTATGTAATGGGTCTTCTGTGTCCTGGTCTGTTTTGCCTCGGTCAGCCACATGTGGGACTCGACTTTTCCCACTCTCTAAAGACCCAATAGTCCAGGTCTGTTAAATAATCACTTTCCCAGTCTCCTCACATGTGAGGTCAGGTGAGCTCTACAGCAGGGGTGTATAGATCAGGGCTCCCCAACCCCCGGTCCGCGGACCAGTACCAGTCCATAGGTCATTTGTTACTGGGCCGTAGTGGGACATATTTTTGGGGCAGATTTTTTTACTAATTTACTTCATTCAAAGAAAATACAGAAAGTCCACTCACATCCATTTACTTTCTTTATTTAAAGACAATCTGGCAATTTTTCAAAATAATATGTCATTTAGATTCTGATAAGAATACAGTCTAAAAGATGCAATAAAAAAAGCTCAGGTTAAGAAACTGTAATGCATTAACTTTACTAAATGCTTTTTAAGCTCCTGTGGACCAAAACGGCCCACAAACGGCTTAGTGGGCCACATTTGGAGTTTGACACATGCTCTACAGTAACCTGCCTTATCAGGGATTGATATTATTTGATTTTACGTTGAGTGTTTGTTCTGGCTGTGACTGATAATCATGGACTCAAAGATGAAGTGAACCACTGGAGCCAAGGCTCCTGCTTAAAGGCAGGAGTCAAAACGCAAGGACGATGGGATTCAACCCACAGAAAGCATTTGTAATGAACAGGTCACATACAGTGACTGAGTTGTAAATAGATGAGCACCAAGCAACGGACCAATCAGGTCAACTCAGTGCACCATAACATCCAAGGATAAAGGATTTAATGAGAATTTTTGCAAACACAAGTTATGTAAGGTTGACGTGAATTGGACACAGAGTTAGCTGTAGATATGGTACTGGGATCAGCACATGTCCCCGCACCAACCCTGAAAAGGTTTAAGCTGTAGAAGAAGAATTAAAGAAGAAATACATGAACAGAACCCTAAGAACAGTTCATCGAAAAAAGGAAAAAAAAACCTTTGTACTGTCTCTGCCTTTCCCCTGAAGTTTGATTCAATCTTGTGTACAAACATGGTTCTGTTGGAGTGAATGACTGCAGCCATGTTCGTCCGTCCGTAGCCAGAGGCCAGTGAGGTTCTTGAACATGGACAGGAAGCCTGTAGACCTTCCCAGGATGGAGCTGTCAGCTGATTCCCCATTTGGGAGAGGGAGGAGGAATGGCTGAGGGAAGTTGGCAGGTGTGGATATAACAGGAGGCCGAGGGTTGAGACTCTGTTGCTGGCTGAATGTGACATTGCTGAGGTCTTTCAGGGAGATGAAACCGCCCACATTAGTCTTCCTCTCCCTGCAGTCTCCTTTGAGACCATCAGTCCCGCTTGTTTGTTCTGCAACAGTGAAAGATTTAGAAATCCAGATCAGTTCAGTGAATTCTATTCTGCATGTTTGTCCAAACACTATTAATGCAGGTTTCATTCCATTTCTGACCAAGCACATCACAGCCTCACTCCCCTTTGGCTATTTATACTAATATTCAGTGTAGAGGTTCCATGTGTTACTGGAATCACTTACTGCTGTGGTCTGTGTGTGTGTGTGTGTGTGTGTGTGTGTGTGGGTGTGACACGCGCCCAACCCCCTTTCTTCCAACC